TGGACTATGATCATTTGGACATCTTCTAGAAGGCCCAAGACCTCATAAAAGCTTGCCAAAACCGTGAGAGACATGTTTGAGACAAGGATCTTCAAAAATGACAAGTTAGAAGACATGTTTAATTGATTTTTGGTAACACCATGATCACTTGATTCTTTCCTTCTTTGGTAACTTAAATCTCCTCCTCTATAAATACTCAAACCCTCACACTACAAGGAGACACAAATTTTGCCTCAAGAAGAAAAGTCTCAAAAATTACAAATTTTCAAAGAAAGTGCACCATTGAATCTCAAGTTCCAGCTTGATTCAGTCCAAACTACCCTTTAAATCACTTCTAGAACATCTCCGAGGTAAGAACATGTAACTTTCCATGCCTATTTGTACCTAAAACTTGCATACATGCCATATCCGGTTTGCATTATTATTCATATTATAAATTATACGCATTGTTAATTGATTCTAACAACTCAGATCGCTTAGCATGATTGTTTAGAATAGATTCAAAGCCTTACATGCAAGTTTTAACATGAGGAATACGAGATGTCATTATTAGGGCATAAAATTCTGTTTGTTTCATGGTGCAGTGGTAGATTTGAAGCCTTACATGCAAGTTTTAACATGAGGAATACTAATCGTTTTAATCCATAAAAAAATAGTCATAGGATTTTTATTAACTAATCTAATTTTGGACATATTTTTAATTCAATTTTATTAGACTTAGTTTTTTTAAATTAATTAACCTTTGTAATTAATTTAGAGTTAGATAACTAATTATTTTCTAAATGCTTAAAATTAACCCAAAAAATACAAAAAAAACTAACTTATAATATTTAGACATTTAGGTTTGTAAAAAATAATTTCTTAACACTTATTTTCCATTTTGTTTATTATTTATTTCATTTTATTATTTAGACGATTGTATAGGTTCCGCGTCGAATTTTTAATAATTAGATTTTAATTTTCACAAGGTTTTAATTATTATGTAACTCTTCCGATGGCATGTAATAGTGTTAGGTTTTATCTTCCTCACTTTACTTTTCGCACTTATTTTATATACCTGTATATATAACTGTTAGATGTATGCTAATAGGGTTTGTATGAAAATAATAAAATCAATCGATAGAAAATCCTAATTCTCAAGATAAATATAACTGAACTGAACTCACTTTGCACACATACACCTATAAGGTAATTCCCTCAGTTGCCTTCAGAAAACATTGGTCATGCCCCTCGAAAGTAGGGATACTTTAGCAAAATACCCTCGATTAAATCATTATAGCCCCTTCGAATAAAGATCATAGTCCCGCGATGTCCCTCAAGTTGCCTACGAAAAGATGATCTAGTCCCTTGTTGCCTACGAATAATATGATGACAATCCCTCCAAATTGCTAAAGTATCCTTACAAGTTGCTTTCTATGACCATACAAAGACCCTACGCCTGTCCCTTCACATCCAATAGATAAAGCTACCTACCAACTAATGGTACGGATAGTAATTTCTCTAACAGAGAAGGAAAATAACAAGAACGACCTTTAGTGGGTAACACTAAACAAATTGCTTGCTCATAACCTCTTTTCAAAACAAACAAAACATTTTACACATCAAATTTCAAATAGATATTTTCGAACAAATACTTTGTACGCATTCTTGATGACTGATACAAGAATCATTACAAAGTCTGCCTCACAATTAGCATTCAAAATATTTTCAAACAATCACACACATACAAAGCAATTTTTTTCAAATTGAGCTAAGCAATTAAGAGTTCATAGATAACTACAGATGAAAAGGGTGCTAATACCTTCCCTTTTCATAACTTACCCCCTGAACTCAAAATTTATCAAAAGTCTTTCGTGTTGTTTTCACCTTTCCTAAATATTGGATAAAAGAAAAGTCGGTGGCGACTCTTGTTAACCATAAGATTTGCGATAAAGCGCTAAAAAAGTCAGTTCTTCCACCGTATTACAAGGGTCTTTGTTTGCATTTATGTCTCATTCTCTGACATACATCACAGTACATGGTCTTCATTCTATCTCCACATGCTGCTTTATCATTTTCCCTTCATTGTCCTTTATATGGATGACTTCCTCTATCTGATGTGTGATATCTATTTCCACAAAGATTCTGGCATATGATACCCCGAGCTTGTTTGTTGTACACTCATCCGTGAATAAAGGCTTTCCCAATGCAATTCCTATCTTGCTTATACTCCTTTGGCCCCAAAGGTGCAAAGGTAATTGGGGGTAGTTTCACCCAAACTGGCACCGTATGCAACATCTCCCTCTTCAAGCAAAAGTATTGATGCCAAATTCAAAGGAGTATAAACATGTTTTGAATGGTATAAGGTCCATTCATCATGACCGAAATCCCTTTCCTCTTCAGATTTAGACTTCAAAATGAAATATCCCTCTTCATTATAAAACAGTTCAGGAAGTTTGACAAAATTCCAGTATTTTAACATGAACTTTTTAACCGCATTCATACTCAAGCCATTTCCTATCACATACATGAACAACAAATTTTCTCAAAATGTTACCTCAGAAGCTACATCTTCGCTTTCAACTTCAATCTGAATCTTCCCCTCCACAATGCTTGGTGCAATGAAATCAATGGCCATGCCATTAGATTGGACATGATTCCCACTGATTACTTCTACCCACAGCTTCGTAGGCACCTTCTTCTCCAAATTCTAGTTCGCTTTCGAAGAATTAGGGTTTTGTATTCCATTATCCTTCACCGTATGCTGCTTGCTCCCGCATCTACACCTTCATCTTCCTCTAGAATCACATTCTCTTGCTCTGTCTGAAAGCTTGTCTTTGCTATCATCGACATCGTTGACGGTGATAGTGAAACCTGTTTTCGCGGCCTCCCCCGTCTCCGTGTGCTCGTCCCTATTATTTTTGATTATTTACACATTGAATTTATTATTATTATTTTAAAATGTTTATATATTAAAAGTAAATCTATCTTATAAGAAAATATTATTTCATCTTACAATCAACTTTCTCAAACATGCTCATTTGAAAATTTATTAAAGTAAATTGAAATTATAATAATTTGAAAAAATTTAATTAAAATACATCAATAGTGTAAAAAAAATTTATATTATTCATAAATTATAACAATCAAATTTTTATAAATATTTATTTTTTTTCTTTAATTACATATAAAATATTTTTTATAAATAATTATAATATATTAATCGTAAAAGAATTTTACATTGACAATATATAACAATTATTCTCATATAAAAATATTTTTATATTAAATATACTTAAGGCACGTCCAACAGATGTTATAAGCGTAAAACAAATTTTTAGACGATGTTTATTAAAATCTCATAATAGTAATATTTTTAGAGAAGGTGATCATCCAAACTTTTTGGACCTCTTAAAATAAAAATTATCTATTAATTTAATGTATTCAATTTTATTTATTTATTATTTAAAAATAAAATTAATTAATTAAATATTTTATTAAAAAATACTTATTTTTAGTAAGATTAGTTAATTTTATTTTTAAATGATAAAATTTTATCAAATGATTTTTTAAAATATTTTGACAATCCAAAGCAATTGTTTTGATATCTTATTTTTAGATTGACTATCACTTCATTTCTCATTAACTTTCTCAACAAATGACATTTGAAATTTCTTTAAAAGTGAATTAAAATGATTTAATATTTTATTAATTATAATATTTTAAAAATGAAATTCATATATGAAATATTGCTTAATTTTCAAAATAGATAAGGTATTATTTTTTGATTTTCTTGTTATCTTAGAATATCTCAATAATTTTCCAGTCCCCTCTCCTAAAAAGATATTCTAACTTTCTAGTCCCCTCTCCCAAAAAGTTCAATTGACCTACTTATGTCTCCATGATTACTCCATTCTTAACTATATTTTTTTTCTTTGCAATGCAAAATTAGAAATATTAAATTAAACATCGAATTATTTATATTAAAATATGTATCATTAAATTAGATGAAAAATAACAATAAAATAAGTTTATGAATGAATGTAGGTGTCCACTCCATCTTATACTATTTCATTGAGCTTACAACAAAAAACAAATAGACATTCAAGTTCTAAATAAAGAAGGAATGTATTGTGAACACTTCAATTTAGGATTAATTATAATTTTGATTTTCTTATTTTCTCTTATTTATGAAATTAGTTCTCTTATTTTAAATTTAAATAATTTTAGTCTTTTTATTTAAATTTAAATAATTTTGATCTTCTCTCATATTTTTACATTAAAAATTAATAATATTTTTATTTTTTAAATGAAAAATTATTTTTAAAAATATGACAAATCATCGTATGTAAATTTATTATTGAATTTTATAGATAAATATATAAATTAAAAAATTAAAAAAATTCATTAATTTTCTATGAAAAAACATGAGAGAGAAAATAAAACTGTTTGAATTTAAAATAAAGAGGTCAAAACTGTTTAAATTTAAAATAAAAGAATTAATCTTATGAATCAGACAAAATAGAGATAAAAACTGTAAAAAGCTGGTGTCCTGTACCACTGCTTTTCCCGAACACCCTCTGAAACCCCGAGCATCACATCCTCTTTATTTGATTTTCTTTTCATTTTTCAATAAAGAGATTTATTTTTTTAAAATTAAAATAATTAATGATTTTTTCCATATTATTGAAGTTACCTTTAATAACTAATTAATTTTTCTTTTATTGTAGTACATTTTGATAAAAAATTATTTTAAAAATTATTTTTAATTATGTTATTCTATATTGTAAAAAGTATATTAAAATCTAATATTAATATATTTAAAAAATTAATATATATATATATATATATATATATATATATATATATATATATATATATATATATATATATATATATATATATAATGACAGGACGAATTTATACACTCTTAAAATCGAAAAACAACTATGAACATGCTCTCTTAGTCTTATTTTCACTATTTAGATACAATTGACAGTGAAACCCTAAAATTTGAGAAGATGGAGAAAAGCGCGGCTGCAAGACATAAAAAGGTTAGAAATAATATACCTAGTGATCTTGCTTTGTCTATTCTATCAAATCTATCTGTGAAATCTTTGAAGCGCTTTGAGTGTGTATGCAAATCATGGAACCTATTGTTCAAAAACCCTTATTTCATAAGTTTGTTTCATAAAATTTTCTTGTCTAATAATCAATTTTACTATGATGATAAATCTCTTCTAATACATCAAACTGTCGATGATGAAAAATTTATATTGCATTCTTTTTCTGGTGAGAAATTTGAGAAAATGAACAAACTAAATTGGCCAAATCCATTTAAAGAGGACGACCCTGGATTTGAAATTTGTGGATCTAGTAGTATTAATGGGATTTTTTGCTTAATTTGCTACTCCCAACCCAATATAAGTGTTGTATTATGGAATCCAGCTACAGGAGAATTCAAAATTGTTCCTGCCAGCCCTATTGAGTTTGTACCATATATGAATATAGATATTATTGGGCACGGTTTTGGTTATGATTCCATTGGAGATGATTATAAGGTGGTTCGAAGGGTATTGTGCTCTCCAAAAAGAGGAAAGTATATAATGACATCAGAAGATATATCTGACGATCCATTTTGGGAGATATATAACCTAAAAAGTAACTCATGGAAGAAAATTAAATTTGATTACCCTGTAAATTATGAAAAAGATGGAATTTTCTTAGATGGATTGTTTCACTGGTGGGGGAAGAACATATTTTTTAATATCAATGATGATGAAGAAGATGAAGAAGAATATCTCTTGTCGTTTAAACTAAACACTGAGGTATTCACTATGACACCACTGCCTTTAGAAGATAATAACTTTGATTTTGAATATGTGTGGCGAGGCTTGATGGTGTTAAATAGATCTGTTGCTTTGATTTCAAATTATTCAAATGTGGGAACTTACCCAAGTAATGATAATTTTTATATATCTATTTTGGGTGAACTTGGTGTGAAAAAATCATGGTTTAAACTCTTTACTATTCAACCTTTACCTTGCATTGAGTTTCCTATTGGAGTAGGAAAGAAAGGAGATATATTCTTTACAAAAGAAGATGGAAAATTAGTCTATTTTGATTTAAGAACAAAGATGATTGAGGAGCTGGGTTTTGTTGGAGATACATTTAGGGGCAAAACTATATTTTATAAAGAAAATCTTCTTCCAATTGGAGAAGCAAATAAGTAACTCTTTTGTTATTTCCATCCGGGAGTTAAATTATGTTGGTTGTTATGAACTTATCTTGTATTTAAATAGGCTTCTATTTTGTCCATGTCATTATTGTTATTGTAATATAAAATAAATAAAGAAACCATTTGATGTAATAGATCTTGCTTATCTATTTTATTTTGATAGTTGACTCTACTCATATTATTCATATTATTGTTCTTTGATATATGAAATGTTTCAGACTGTTTGTGTTGGTGTGTTTATTCTTTAATTTTAGAAAATTACAATAAGTATTCTACAATGAATTTTAAAAATTATGTTAAAATTGTCACAACAATACAAATTCAAAATCGCTTTGTTGAAAACAACATTATTTCTAGCTTTCTAAATTTTCTAAAAGGTGGTGTTGAATATACATCTCATAAGAGAAAAACTAATAAGGAACTTTTTCTTTAAAGATATTTTATTTTTCATTGTGGTGTATAGCACCAAATATGGCTATCATAATTTATCATCAAACAATCTACAAAAATAGTGAATTTATAGATAGAGATGGAAATAGACTGGGACGAGTTAGGCTTTGCCAAGCCTAAGTCTGGTCTGCCAAAAAAATTCAAGCCTAAGTCTGGCTTGTAACCTGTCATAGACTTATTTTTAGGTCTGAGTCTGACATTTTCTAAGACTTAGTTAGCCTGTTAGTCTATATAAAAGCCTATTATTTTACACATGTGTAAATAACAAATTCAAACATCGTTTAAATAGAATGACAAACTAAAAAAATCAATAAACCTAAAAGTTTGTTTGCATTGATTTATTTTAACTTACCTATTAACATATGTTTTTGAGACTATTTGTTTAAGAGAACTTGTGAAAACAACTTATAACATTGTTCATAAGGTGTTTTCATCTTATTTTCATAAGTTCTCCAAAATAACAAAGTTTTATTAATGTATTTTGATTCAAAGTACAAAATATAACATAATGTTGAAATATTAAATTAGATTTGTTAAAATATTATATTGTATTTAATATTTAAATATAATCCAAGTTGTGTAGACCCAAACCCATTTAGGGTTGTATATAAGTAGTCCTAGTCTCTATCATTATTTGTAACAATTCAATAATATCAAATCCTTATTTTCTTTATTATTCTCTCTTTCTCTCCTCACTAAAAGCGCCACACACACTAACAAATTGGTATCCAGAGCTTCTATTTATTGTTCTTGATCGAGTTTTCAAGAACTTCATGTCAGCGATCGTGTTTCTAGGGCAAGTGATTCAACCGCTACGAAGATCGCTAGTGATAAGGGCATTGCAAATTCTCTTCCAATGCTTGACGGTAAGAATTGGATCCGATGGAAAAAAACAGATGCAATCCTTGTTTGACTTCCATGAAACTCTAGAAGTGTTTACCGACGACATTCTTGCATTGGCTGTAAATACAACCGACGAACAGAAAAAATCCCACAACAAAGTCAAGAAGAAAGATTGCAAGGCTGCTTATTACATTCAGACAGCGGTCACTGCTGCTGATTTCGACAAAATCTCTCATGCTGAAACAACGAAGGAGACATGGGACATTCTGGTGAAGTATTACGAAGGAGGTGAGAAAGTCAAAGTTGTCAAGTTACAAAACTTGCATCGACAATATGAGTTGTTGTCGATGAGAGAAGATGAAAAAGTTGCAGAATATGTGTCGAAGGTTCAAAAACTCCTCCATCTCATGAAGGGTTATGGTGAAACCATAACTGATAAGATGATAGTTGAGAAGGTAATGAGAATGTTGACCTCTCACTTTGATCATGTTATCGTAGCTATTCAAGATTCCAACAATCTTGAAACCACTAAAGTGGAAGATTTGGTTGGTTCATTGGAGGCGCATGAGATGAGGATTGTTGAAAGGAAAGGAGTTCAGGACTCGATATAGGTGTTGCAAGCTCAGTCATGGAAATATGATGGTGGTTCCAATAAGTTCAAAGGTAATTTTGACAAGACTCAGTGCAAGAAGTCTTGGTCGAAACCTTACAAACATCAGGTCAAAGATAGAACTTCTGAATCATCGAAAGGAGGAGGAGGAAACTATCGAAAGGGAAAAGAAGATAAAAAAGGTGTGCAGTGCTATAATTGTGAAAAGTGAGGTCACATAGGCAAGAATTGTTGATACAGAAAAGATAGGGGATCGACAATCAAGGACGAAGGAGTGAACCTTGTACACCAAGATTCAGATGATTCTGAAGGTGGTATGGTGGTTATGGCTACAATTAGAGGTGGAAAATGGGCATTCCCGCCCCGTTTAGGCCCGCCCCGCAAAAAAATGGGGCGGGACGGGGCAGGCATAGTTGAGGATGAGGGCACATATAGAACTTCAGTGGTAGTAGCCTTTTAACCATCCTTTCTGATAATAAAAATATCTCCTTTACCACCTGATTTGATATGCCCTCCATTTGTAAACTTTATCACCTTTTCGACTGACTCATCTAACTTGGTAAACCAATTTTTATTGCCAGTCACATGGTTGTTACATCTGGAATCCAGATACCACATGTTGTTTTTCTCAGTAGTCGACTGAGTGTTCACCAGCAACAACACATCATCAGAATCATTATCTCCAGCTCGTGCATATTAAGATTCATCATTATCTTTTGACTTCACAGCTTCCTTTATTCGACAGTCTCTAGCATAGAGGCCAAAACCATGACAGTTGTAACATTACACCTCTTCCGTGTCAACTTTCTTCCCAAAATACTTGTTGCACACCCCTTTGGAATCAGTATTCTTTCTTGACTTCTCATCACCAACAACATTCTTTCACTGCTTCGACTTCTCTTTTCCAGCTTTCTTGCTGAATCTTGATTGCAATGCTTGTTCAACAACCTTCTCCCTTTCTGAGTTTCTCTGCTGCAACCTCATTTGTGAGCCTCCAATGAAGCTTGAAGTTCTTCCAACTTCATCTCAGATAGATTCTTGGCCTCTTCAATTGTTACAAAAAAAGTAATCAAAATCTGCAATTAGAGATCTCAATACCTTTTCTATCTTTTGCAAATCCGTAAGCGCTTCACCATATGCCTTCATCTGGTTTGTTATCGTTACAACTCTTGAGAAATATGCAGAAATAGATTCATCCTCTTTCATCTGAAGCATCTCATACTGCTTCCTCAATGTCTGTAACTTCACCTTCTTCAGTTTCTCATCTCTATCATACAAGGATTTCAGATTTTCCCAAGCTTCTTTTGTTGTTTCTTCTTCAATTATCTTCTCGAAAATGTCACAATCCACACACTGGTGAATCAAGAACAACGCCTTACCATCTTTCTTCCTCTGATCTTTGTGCGCAGATTTCTGAGCTTCCGTAGCATCTACTTCTAGTTCTGATATTTCATCATTCAAGATTTCTACGACATCTTGAAATATGAAAATAACCTTCACTTGCGCAACCCACCGTTGATAGTTTTCACCTTTGAAAACCGGTAGATTTGTTGGAAACTATGTTGATGTTGTTGATCTGTTTTCCATTAGATTCTCCCTGAATCGTAAACAAGCTCTTGATACTAATTTGTTAGAACAAAGGATTCAAGAAAGATGATTTTGAGAAAACAAGAAGAAGAAGAAGAGAAGAGAGAGAAATTGTGAGTTAGTTAAGTGTAACTAACTTTCTAACTGAATGAATTATTATTGATGCTTGTTTGATTACAACCATAATGATCCTTTATATAGGCAAAGTGCCCAAACTCAAATACACATGCTAAAAGCCCAAATAACTACATAATAAGAATTAACCAACTAACACGTATTTTAGATTCAAATAGTTTTAATCTCCCTATCATATTTTTTCATAGAAAATCTTCTCGACAGTCTCTAGCATAGTGGACAAAACCTTGACAGTTGTAACATTACACCTCTTCCGTGTCAACTTTCTTCCTGAAATACTAGTTGCACACCCCTTTCGAATCAGTACTCTTTCTTGACTTCTCATCACCAACAACATTCTTTCACTGCTTCGACTTCTCTTTTCCAGCTTTCTTGCTGAATCTTGATTGCAATGCTTGTTCAACAACCTTCTCTCTTTCTGAGTTTCTCTGCTGCAGCCTCATTTTGTGAGCCTCCAATGAAGCTTGAAGTTCTTTCAACTTCATCTCAGATAGATTCTTGGCCTCTTCAATTGTTACAAAAAAAGTAATCAAAATCTGCAATTAGAGATCTCAATACCTTTTCTATCTTTTGCAAATCCGTAAGCGCTTCACCACATGCCTTCATCTGGTTTGTTATCGTTACAACTCTTGAGAAATATGCAGAAATAGATTCATCCTCTTTCATCTGAAGCATCTCATACTGCTTCCTCAATGTCTGTAACTTCACCTTCTTCAGTTTCTCATCTCTATCATACAAGGATTTCAGATTTTCCCAAGCTTCTTTTGTTGTTTCTTCTTCAATTATCTTCTCGAAAATGTCATAATCCACACACTGGTGAATCAAGAACAGCGCCTTACCATCTTTCTTCCTCTGATCTTTGTGCGCGGCTTTCTGAGCTTCCGTAGCATCTACTTCTAGTTCTGATATTCCATCATTCAAGATTTCTACGACATCTTGAAATATGAAAATAACCTTCACTTGCGCAACCCACCGTTGATAGTTTTCACCTTTGAAAACCGGTAGATTTGTTGGAAACTATGTTGATGTTGTTGATCTGTTTGCCATTAGATTCTCCCTGAATCATAAACAAGCTCTTGATACCAATTTATTAGAACAAAGGATTCAAGAAAGATGATTTTGAGAAAACAAGAAGAAGAAGAAGAGAAGAGAGAGAAATTGTGAGTTAGTTAAGTGTAACTAACTTTCTAACTGAATGAATTATTATTGCTGCTTGTTTGATTACAATCATAATGATCCTTTATATAGGCAAAGTGCCCAAACTCAAATACACATGCTAAAAGTCTAAATAACTACGTAATAAGAATTAACCAACTAACACGTATTTTAAATTCAAATAGTTTTAATCCCCCTATCATATTTTTTCATAG